GGACCTCATCTGTTTATAATGAATTTATATTTGATTAATTGAGCCAATATCTAATCCATTAATAGAAGATAAGAACATAAGTGTGAATAGACCAGGTTTGAGTTGAAAACAATCTAAATTAATAGAAATTTAAACAGATTGAGCAGTCTTTGGACCAGTCCAAAATATTCATTAAACTGGATTGGACCAGGTTCATTTGTAATGGATTCACACATTGGACCGGACCGGACCGGACCGGATTAAACCAAATCCAGTCCAATTAACATATATAGATAGATATCATTATCGTGCCTTGCATATATGCATGGTTACTCACTTCAGTTGATGGAGAAAAGAGATGCCCAACTCTTTATTCTTTGTAGAGGCAGGATTAATGGAAACAGATAAGAGGGTTGGGGTTGGTAGGCTTGGTAGCTACTAGCTAGGTACGCAACTCTCAAGTCTCAAGTAGAACAAACACAAACACACTACTTAGTACTTGCCGTCGCCACAGCCGCACGCGCCCCAGGAGTCCGATGAGTTGGTATTAATTAATTGGCTTAATTTGGCCGTTCCATCTCTTTTTCCCTTATTGTCCGCTTAACGGGGCAACGTGGGCCCTTACTACTAAGCGCTGCACAACTTGTCTCCGTGCATTTAGTAATAACTAATAAATAGTAACATGTAATATATCAAATGATAATGATAATAATCAGCAATAAAATAATTTTATTGGTTGAATCATTAACCTATTTAACCAGGAAAATTGACTATGAATTATTTTTTTTCTTTGTATTTTAATCATTTCTATCTTTATAAACAATAATTCTTATTTTTTAAACATATTTTTGTTTAATACGAAGAATATATAATATTAATGTTTGTTCAAATTTTTTTATAAAATTTATAAAAATTTCTATATTTTTATTTATTATTAATTATTATTTAATTTATGAGATAATAAAATTTACTTATTTATCTAGAGGAAAAGAAATTCCAATATATTGTTTGAACATTGGTTTTTAATATTATGGTCAAATTAATTAATTATATATATGATATGTTATTTATTATTTATTTATTTATAAATATGTTATTTATATTGCATTTTGTAAACTTCTTATATGATGAAAATAGTTGAAAAATACTTTTCTTTATTTCAACTATTATATTTTATTTTCCTTTTAATAATTTATTATTTTTTTAAATTAAATCGGATCGTATAAGATTCGGATATCCAACATCTTAATCGAATTCAGATTTGAATCAATATTTATGAAATCCGATCAGATCTTTGGATCGAATCAAATTCGAATGTACTCATATTCAAATCCAATCCAATTTGTTTGCATCCCTACCAAACCACTTGCCTACAATGACATAGCTAATTAAATCATTGAATCATTTGACATGGTTAGTGGGGTCATCTGTTAGACATTATTGCTCTTTATTTTTTATCCCATTTCTATCATTGATGAAAATAAATCTCATTATTCACACTTTTTTATATCATGAATATATAATACTATAGAATATACCCAAACTTATCTACAAATTTTTACATTTTTTAGAATTTTATGCATTTTATTATTTAATAATAACATCATGTGTTGATCCGTTTGACATGGATAGTTGAACCAATGTTTTCAAATCGTCGTTGACCCAGACGGTCGGACCGTTCAAACTAGAAATCGTTTAGGCGACCGGTTTCGTTTTACCCCAAACCCGGCCTTGGGTAAAAAACTGTTGAATTAGTCAATGAATCGTTGACCTGGATAGTTTGACCGTTGAACCATTTGACTCGGAGAACGGTTTGCGGTTTATTAATTTGTTCGAACAAAATGAAAAGAGAAGAAGATTTCTCAAATCTAAGATCTAAAATCTCTTATATTTAAGACCTATTGAAAGAGATGTCTAAGGCAGTGAGAGAGATCTAGGAGAGAAGTTTAGACTCTAGACGACAGATCTGTGAGAGAGAAAGTGTGATCTGAGATTGAGAAATCTCATATCTACTTTCATTGCCAGTTTTTCACCACCGCTGCCACAGTTGCCACCATCGTCGTTGTTGCTGCTGTAAGTCACCGCCATCGTCACCGCTGCAAACCCTGCAGCCTGCAAGTCCTCCTCTTTTTCTTCTTCTTCTTCTTCTTCTKCTKCTTCTTCTTCTTCTTCTTCTTCTTCTTCTTCTTCTTCTTCTTCTTCTCTTCTAAACTCTTCCAGTTTCAGCCGACAACTTCTCAAATACCTCTACTCAATCTTTATTTTCTCTTATATTCATATGCATCTTACCCTAATATTCCAATCAAATGGGTAAGAAGACATATCACTGTTAAAATATTCAAACCGTCCGAACTGTTCGACCCGAAAAACTAGTGGCCAGAATGGTTCTGTTTTTGAGTCGGTTTTTAAAACCTTGAGTTGAACCATTAACCCACCACTTGGATGGAATAACCATTTTTTCTTTTCCGATTGATTTTAAATCATGTATTACATTTTCATCATCAATAAAAGTAAATCTTATTTTTACTTTTATTTTTGCATGTGGCATTATCAAATGACGGTGATGATAATAATTAGTAACCAAAGGACCTTATTGGTTAAACCGTTAACCTATTTAACCAGGAAAATGGATTCTGATTAAGACGTTAATTCATTTTTTCTTTGTATTTTAGCCATTTCTATCTTTACTAACAATTATTCTCATTTTTTTCAAACATATTTTGGTTTAATATCAAGAATATATAATATTAATGCACGTTCAAATTATTTTTTATAAAATTTATAAAAAATTCTATATTTTTATTTTTTATTATTTAATTTATGAGATGATAAAAATTACTTATTTACCAAGAGGAAATGCAATTCCAATATATTGTTTGAACATTGGTTTTAATATTGTAATCAAATCAATTATTTATATATAGAGTATATATATATATTATTTATATATAATACATATGTTATTTATTATTTATTTATAAACATGCTTTTTATATTGCAGTTTTATAAACTTTTATATGATGGAAATAGTTAAAAAAATACTAACATTTTTTGTTTTTTATTTCAACTGTTATATTTTTCTTTTTTAATAATTTATTACCTTTTTTAAAAATTAAATCGAATCGTATCAGATTCAAATATCTGACATCTTGATCGGATTTGGATTCAAATCAATATTTATGAGATTTGGTCAAATCTTTGGATCATATCATATTTGAATATACTCTAATTCAAATCTAATATGATCTGTTTGCATCCCTACAAAACCACTTGCTTATGATGACCTAGCTAATTAAATTATTAAACCATTTGACATGGTTAGTTGGGTCATGTGTTAGATATTAATGCTCTTTATTTTTTATCTTATTTTTTATCCCATTTCTATCATTAATGAAAATAACTCTCATTAATCACACTTTTTTATATGATGAATATATAATATTATAGAATGTACCCAAAATTATCAATAAATTTCTACATTTTATAGAATTTTATGTATTTTATTATTTAATAATAAGATCCAATTTGACATGGATAGTTTAACCACTAACCCACCACTTGGATTTAAAAACCATTTTGTTTTTTGGTTGATTTTAATTCATGTATTCCATTTTCATCATCGATAAAAATAATTCTTATTTTCACATTTATTTTTGTTTAATATGATGAATATATAACAATAGAATTGTATCATAATACTTTATATATAGCTTATATTTTTTTTTGAGTTTATATATGTTTGTATGTAGGTATATATTTAATATCTGTTACTTAGTTATGACATTATAGATTGACCCATTTGACCCGGAATGTTAGATCATTGACCTACCTACCATCTAGATATGAAAATGGTTTCATTTTCAAAGTGGTTTTAAATTTTGCATTTCATTTATATCATTGATAAAAATGATTATTATTTATTATACTTATTTTTGTTTATATTATTTGTATATAATATTATAGATGTGCCCACCCCCTAGATAGGAAGATGGTTTAATTTCCCATCAGTTTTAAGTTATATATTCGATGTCCATCATTAATAAAATTATGTATATATTATCATAGGTATTTTTTAATATGAGAAATATATAATAATAGTAATGTGTCCAATTTTTTAATTTCTTTTTTTTTATATTTTTTATATTTCTAAATTTGTATTATTTATTTATGACATCATGAAATTATCCATTTGACCCAAATGGATGAAGTATTTACCCACGACCTAAATGAAAAATATGATTTCATTTCTAGGTTTATTTTAAAAATATAAAATTTAATGATAATAAACAAAAGTATTTTTTATATTTATAAATTTGTATTATTTATTTATGACATCATGGAATTATTCATTTAACCCAAATGGTTGAACTACTTACCCACCACTTAGATGAAAAATATGATTAAATTTCTATGTTTATTTTAAAAATATAAAATTTCATTCTATTAATAATTATTGTGTATGAATTTATTAGTGGAATTTAATGATAATAAACAAAAGTATAAATGTTGAATTAAATGAAAGAGAATGTGATTTATTTAATGAATTGAATGTGAGGTTTAATGAGAGATAATTATATGTACTTAATGATATCGTTTTAATTATATTTTCTACCCTTTCAATAAAGACAAATTAAATTCAAAAGGAAAGGCATTTCAGTAAAAAAATACCAGAAACCAATACCTCCTCATTCTCACTTTTATAAATAATATAACTGTACTGATCGCTCTCTCTACCTAACTAGCTCGCTCGTCCAATTCCTATCGTCCTTGCAAGCAATATTTCATCAGTTATCACCTCCCCCAACCTTGTAAATTAACTTACATCGTCCAAAGTATATACCATTTTTTATTCTTATATGTTTTTTCAAGTAGATTTGAAAACATGGAATAAATTATAAAGCAGAATGAATCCAATGATACATGAGGACTACATCCGAAATCCACACCACACATTTGATCCAGACCAGACCAGACCAGACCAGAAGAAGAAACACACCGAACTTCTTGTTAGGAAACCCGCGTGCAAAAAACGAAATTACACTTCGTTTCTTTCTTACTTTATTTGTTTTATCTACACTTGTACGCACTCTAATTAACCAACACCATTGCACCACACATCACTGTCTGTAACTTGAAAACATCTGATACAATATATAAGAAAAAGATAAAGTAGAAGATTGGTTATTAATTCCATTGGATTGAAACCCTCTGTCTCTCTCTCACAGCCCTTTGAATCATGTTCCATCGATCAGTTGTTCCTAGGAATCACCCTTACAGGCAATCCTCCCTTCGGCACCGGAAATGGACCGTATTTTATTCCATCGTCCTCACCAACAACCTTCCACCTGAAACGTGTAACTCAAATTATCAGGAGTTATGATTGTCACTTTTGATTAAGGTTTCATATCATATTATACACATAGAAAATAAATAAAAAAGGAAAGTAAGGCAGGGAGCCTAATCTCTAGGCTGACCATTGACCAAGTTTTAATTGGACACTTTGATATGAAGTGGATAAAGGGTGTCGACCCCTTCCGGACATACGGACGGTTAGACCAATTTTGTCCGGCAACGGGGGTGGGCCCCATAGCCAATCTGCCAATGCCATAATCACAAAGAGTCACTTCCCAAACAGCTGGCCCTTGATATATACGTATAACGTGTTGTTCTTGTTCCTAGGCTCGTAGGTCGTAGCTACTGGATGGACTGACTCTACTGCTTAGCTACCATCCCATATTCCCATACACAAGGCCAGTCATGATCGATCTTTACTTATTATATATGTTGTAGTTTCTCTCTCCTGCTGCTCTTCAGTCTTCACCCTTCATTTCTCCTCTGAAACCCTCCCGAGTCCCCACATGTAAAAGGACCCGATTTCATATGTGAACCTCCAAATCTGTCACCGTTACTGCGTTACATACACTCAACTAGAAGAGCGTATCCGATCTCGATGGTGATGGTAATGGTATCAATTATCAAATCCGACATCTGGTGGGTCCCTTTCCAAAGAGATCAGATCACAGATGTCTAACAGTAAATGCTAAATTTGTCTTCCCTTTTTATTTCCACACTTCTTCCGCCGGATTTTAATTATGTATACTCTTTTTTTTTATTCTTATTTAATAATAATAATCTTGCTAGACAGTTGCCATCTATCTTCCCACGCTATTTAAAAAATTGGAATTTCTACTTCTACAGGATAGGCCTACGGTCAAACTAATTCAAGTTTGTGTTTTCAAACCAAACGATCGAATACTTTTCCTAAGCTAGGTGACACCTGTTAACCTCCTGCATGTCCGCCACGTTCACAAAATAATTAAAAAGTGGTCGTCAGATTCTGATACCGATTAATGATTTGACTCATCTTAATCCTAGAAAAAATTTAGGGGTTTTTATTGTTCAGTACACAAACAAATCTTAACTCCACCGTACAGGTGGAGTGCAGTCTATTTATCCGAAAATTTTAAATTTACGGACTACGGAGGGAGACAGACAGACAAAAGGCGAGAGAGAGAGAGAGAGAGAAGGATACCTGTAAGTGGTGGTGAGGTGGTGGAGGAGGACGAGTATCTCAAGCTTAGCCAACTCATTCCCTGGACAAGAATGGACACCGTTCCCGAATGGCATGTACGTGTTAGGTCTCGGTGGCACCTGCGCCATCACACATATTTCTTGTCATTCTTTCCATATTCCATGGAGAGTGCAAATATGCATGAACAGATGAATTCAAAATCTTTTTCCTTTCATTCCATTAAAGAGCAAAAAAAAAAAAAAAATTCTAACAGATAGATCACTAGAATGAATTTGCTGTATGACCTAACCTTACAAAACCAGTCACGTGATCAGATATACCAGTTCCTCTATGAGAAGAAAAAAAGGAAGAAATAGAGGACACCCACATAATCTACCTTTCATCAAGTAAAATAGGACGATAAAAGAAGCAGTAAAACAAATCCATTCCCCTCAGTTCATGAATTAATCTTCCTCGACTCAAGAACTAGATAAACTAGATGTATGTGTGTGTGTGTGAGATAGAGAGAGAGAGAGAAAGAGAAAGTTATAAAGATATTTGTTATGCTTAATTTTACCTCAAACCTTGAAGGATCGAACTTTTCGGGATCAGGGAAGAAATCTTCACAGTGATGAATGCTTCTGAACAGAGGAAGAACTTTCCACCCTTTGGGGATTATATACCCTCCAAATTCTACGTCTTCAACGGCTTCTCTGAACGTAAATGACAAGATACTTGCTCTTCTTAGAGTCTCTTGAATCACCTGAAAATCACTTCCTATATTATTATTATTAATCTCAATTTCCTATATATTAATGCTTTTTCCATTGGGAATATTAATGAATGAATCAATTGATAAGATCTCAAATGGGGTTACCCGGCTAGTCAACAGCATGCTTCTCGTATCAGCCCAAGTCATCTCACGGTTTTCTTCAATTATCCCTCGTCGAATTCCTTCTTGTTCCTTCTGTAATAATTTCATTTTCTGTAAATCAATTTAATCCCTTTTTTCAAAAAAAAGAAAGACAGATGGAGAAATGAAAGCGATCCCCTTGTTTTCTCTTGCAATAACAAATGCCACACAATATTCTACTTCTTTCCTTTTCTTTTTCTGATAAGGTACAATAAGAATATTGATAGTTTGTGTATAAAGCAAAGTGTAATGGTGAATATGGCTCAGCGATGGAAAGTTAAGAGAGGGGTAGATGTAGATAATGGTAAAAGACTTATATATCCTAGGGAAAACAACAAAAGTACCCTTTAAAGTTTTAATTTAAATGTAAGTTTATAGAACTTTAGACTTTCGTAACTAGATTCATCTTTTGCAGGACAAGGAAAAAAAAAAGAAGGGGATGATTTTACCGTAACAGCCTCCAAAAGTTCTTCATTGTCATGTAAGTACTTGAGTATCCATGTGAGAGCGCTTGCAGTAGTGTCATGAGCAGCAAATATCACTCCTATAATATTATCTGAGACTTGAGAGTCGGTTAGATGGTTAAGCTTGTGATCTTTGGAGCCCAATAATACTCCCAACAATCCCCCATCTTGCTTCTTTCTTTCCCTTCTCTTCTCTATCACCCTCCTCAAGGTCTCATTGAGAAGCTTCCTTGCCTGTGTCAGTCAACATCAAATGAGAAAAAGTAGAAAAGTGATTTAAAACTGAAGAACCCAGCTTTGTAAAAAAAGAAATCCATTTGGAAATAAAAATGAAAAAAAAAAAAAGAAAGGCCTTATATACTACAAAATGTCTCTGTTGACATGACACATGCAGTTCATAGCAATGTGAGACTAAGAACAGCTTAACTTGACCTAAAACCGTATTAATATAAATATATAAATAAAAGTGAAAGCTTGAGTGTAGTTGTAATTGTAATATTGCATTACTCAAAGAAAATGACGAGGAGCGATCGAGGACCATCGTTACCTTCATTGATTTGTTAAAGGGAGTTCCGGGGAGGTTGAGAGGCATGGAATTGTAGCCTTTCTCTAAACGATGATACAAACGTTTGATCCGCTCCGTCTCTACGCCCCAACCAGCTCCAAAAGCAGAAAGAATTGCCACATCAAATGCAAACTAAAAGAAGGACGAAAAGGAATAAGATTCTCATCAGTAATTTCTCATTTTGTAGGGGAAAATCTGGGAGAAGGGATTAGGGAGGGGCCGGATACTTGGGACCGACTGGGAAGTTGAAGACTAGAAATACCTTCTTCATCTCTTGCAGTGTGTTAATGGTTTCGTTCTCCCAAGCAGGAAGAAGTTTGAGAACTATCTGCTCTATTTCAGAGACGTATCCTCTCAAGGCAGATGGAAGAAAAGAATCTTGAACCAACTTCTTTAGCCTGGAATGGTAATCCCCTTGTTGGAAGAATAGGGCCTCGGGTCCTATCAGCTTCTCTTTGCTTGGAGGATAGGTTGGCTTAAACAAATGGGCTCGACTCACTAGCACAGCCTTGGCTGCTTCGGGGCTTGAAATCATCACACAGGGGCATCCCAATATGTGAGTCTTAAATATGTCACCATACCTGCAACAGATGTAAAGTGAAACGTTGAATAAACAAATAGACATGTTCTAAATGGTCGTCAGTATAACACATAGAAACTCCTCGAGGATTCTCCCTTATTCTTCTTTTTCTAGTTGGTTTTCACAGAATAAAAACACTAAAAACCAGACAAAAATATGGAGAGAGAGATCTAAAACGGGTTTTTGATATTGTTTATGTGTAGGACCTAAAGTGGTATGTTATTTACCGTTTCTGCCTCTTGGAGAAGAAAGAATCTGGGTTTTGACTGTAGAGCATGAGTGTCTCGCCTATGTAAGGCCAACCCATGGAACCAGGTGGGAGGTGCTTGTTCCTGGTTTGACGCCATTGAATCAAATACAACAAGAAGAACCAGAGAATAGATAGGAAGAAGAGAAGATGAGAAAGATAGGTGGCAGAGAGTAGTGGTAAGGAAGCTGGAGGAGGCTGCATGGTAGTTGTAGACTTGTAGTAGCAATAGAGTAAATAGTGGTAGAAGAATAGGTAGATGAGGTTTGTGTTGGAGTGGAAGGGGCTTTAAATAGGAAAAGGAAAAGGTGGGGGAATGGACATGCGTCACCGCGATTCTGGGAACACCTTTCTTTTCCCTTTTTAAGGACTTTTGCCTTCCACACGGTCGCACTTTATTCGCATTTGGACACGTTACCCGAAACTATTCAACCAGCCCTACCAAGCTTTTTCCCTCTCCCTCTCTTCTGTCTGGTCTCTGGTCTCTGGTCTCTGGTCTCTGGTCTCTGCATCGATCCCCTTTCCTTTCTTCACCTCCCGTGACGAGCCATAAACTGATGCAGATTTCCCTCTCCTTCTCTCTTGGCCCGCGCCTTACGCCTAATGGCTAAATCCTAATTCCTAAACCCAGCCGAGGCCCGAGTGTAGCCCAATCCACCACCTTTACCTTATCCCCAATCCTTCCAAGACCGACCTACTAGTGAGCAGCACTGAGCGGTTGTTCGGTTATCCGCGCCTAAGCCTCCGGTCATCTCATGTCAAACCAACGGGAGTCGTACCCCGTCTTGTCAACACGTGGTCTCCTCTGGGTTCGACACGCGTGTGCGTGGGGTTGGTCCGTACCATTGGATGTTGGCCGGGCTCTTTCTTAAATTTTACCCATTTCTCGACTCCCTCTCTCTCTCTCTCCCTCCGGCCTCCGGCACCTCCTGGTCCTGGGTATCATCGATTAATTAATACTGATTCTGAATGTTGAGTTGAGTTGGATCATGGGCTCATGAGTCATGGCTCCTGGGTGTTCTCATCAGCTCTGTCTCTCACATCACATGATTCACACACACACACACGCATCGTGTAGTCTGGCCCCTGCGCTGCAGTCTCAGTCTCATATGGGTATCAATTAACGAAAACTTTTTTGTGTCTTCTCTCTCTCCAACCTTGATTCAGCTAGCTCCTGCTTCATCAGTATTCCGTATGGATATGGATATCCAAGTGTTTCCTGAATCACGAACGCATGTATCAGTCGAATGCCGCTCGTCGAGCTGCACAGAATGAATCATAGCTAGATGTATGTAAAATGTAACAGACTCCTTCCATCTCTCACGTGAAACAGCGTGCTTCCCACACTGCATATCTTCATTCCTTAAACCAAGTGCCTCTTTCTAGTTTTAATGCGATTGAGTTGTCTTCTCTACACACTACACACTCTACACAGCCCACGCTGCCACTTCGCTCCGCTTTATTTGTCTCAAACTCAGCCAGCCCCTTTTCTTCTTCTTCTTTTTTTTTTCTTTTTGTTTTTTAACAAGTAACAACAAATTAACATCTTTGCTCAGTGCTCACTCACCAGTCACCTCCTCTTCCGCACGCGTCGCACTTGTCACGTATTTCTCCACAGTCTGGCAGTTGGACACCTGTTGCAAACAGGGCATGGGTCCCGCATTGAGTAGGAATAGGATTATGGGAAGAGAGTGAGAGAGCAACACGTCAATGGAGTTGGAAGGAAGAAACCTCAAATCTCTTCCTCTTCTCTGTTCAAACATTTCAACATTGAACAGCTCCCATAGCCTGACACTATGACCGGCTTGATTCGAACACGTAGCCATTCTGCCACCAAGATCGACGACGACAGTTGTACCTGTCTTCTTGGAAACGCGTACGGAGTTGATTGGCTCGCCTTAACTAGACGAAGATACCCCCCGCGATTGTTTGTCTATGTGTCATCGACACGTGGCGACCATTTAATACACATGATGGAAAGTGTCGTCCACCTTATCTCACTGACCCATGATATGGTATTTACGGATCATTATTGGATTGTGTTATTACTTCATTTTAACAATAATGTTGAATTGACGTTTGTGATGTGATATCATGAGTTCGGTTTTGCTTTATTGAGAATCTCCAAGTCTCCAACAGATACAGCAATATTTGGTTGGCCCCACCCAATCGATCCTAGCACGATGCTCCGTTGCCACCTAAAATACTAAAAAACAATATTTGAAAAATTCATAGTTTTTTAATACTATTTTTTTCCTTCCAGTTCCACTCTTAGTCTCTTAGAGTTTAATTAAATTAAAACCCAAACAGTCGTCCATTCCAGTACCAACCTTATTTCAACTCATTTTGGTTCAATATGGTTTGATCCTACTTCAACGGCGTTCGACCCAATCTATCTGTAAGTCGTCCATTCTGAGGTGGACTGAACATTAAAAACCCCAAAAAGAAGACATACGGCTCAACAATGACACAGGGCTGTTAATAATAGATTGGAGTTCAATCTAATCCAATAACAACCTGGTTCGAGATATTCCGATCCCATAACTGTAATAAGCAGATATCCATTACCAGCAATTCAATACAAACCAATTTTAAACGCTTTTTATTTTTGAAATTAATATATTTTATTTTTCTTACAAGTGTTTATTTAATACATTAGTTCCATTCAACGCTTCAAAATGAAAAGATGCAGAAAACAACAAAACAGGATGCATTGCTGTATGTAGGCAAACATTCAAACTGATGATAGAATACCAATAGTGACATGTGCAATACCATGGGCCACATGTGTTATCAATGTTTATTTTCGGTTCCTACTGGATGATTATCCAAATATCCAAACTTGTATACGGCCCATTCTTTTTGCTATATGTTTTTTTCTGTTTATATGCTTTTGCACAATGATGATGGTAATAATAATAATAATAATAATAATAAGAAGAAGAAGAAGAAGAAGAAGAAAAAGAAGAAGAAGAAGAAGAAGTTTAAATTTTTTATATTTTTATGTATATAAAAATAATTCTTATTTATCATATTCATTTTTGTTTTATATGATGAATATATAGTATTAGTAATAGAGATACAAAATTCCTATATTTTTGTAATTTTTCATGTTTTTATTTTGTAATTTTTATTACTTAATTATGACATCAAAGGTTGATACATTTGGTTGGAAAGGTTGAACTATTGACCGACCACATCGAGCAAGAAAACAAATTTTATTCTTGACTTGATTTTAAATTTGTATTTCATTTCCATCACCAATAAAACCAATTCTTGTTTGTTGCACATAATTTTTCTGTAATATATTAAAATAAAATATTATGGATGTGATCAAATGTTTTCAACAAAAAAATTGTATTTTTTTCACAATTTTTTGTGTGTTATTTATCGTTTTTTAATTTTTATTATTTAATTATGACATCCAATGTTTAACATATTTGACCTAAAAGGTTGAGTTGCTTACTTGCCACCAAACAAGAAAGAAATTTCATTTTGGATTGGTTTTAAATTCTGTATTTAATTTTCATCATCAACGAAAGCAATTTTTTATCACATATTTTTTAATATGATTAATATAGAATATTAGAGATGATCCCAATTTTTCTATAATTTTTTATTTTTTTTGTATTCAATCTATTTTATAAATTTTATTATTTAACTATAACATCATCGGCTGACCCATTTGATCCAGGTGGTTGATTCACTTACTCGTAACCTAAACAGAAGAACGGTTTCCTTTATTAGTAAGAAAAAACCTTAAATATTGGATTTAATGAGAGAGGTCAATAGGAGTTAATACCTTATATGTAAGACTCAATGAGAAAGGTGTTAAAACTGGTAGTTCTAACCTACATTTTCTACACTCACAAGTTGTAACCAGAGAGAGACCAAATTTGAAAATAAGGATGTTTTAGTTAAAAAAGAAAAGTTCTATAAGGTCATTCATACTTTTAGTTGTATAATGATGAAAATAATTGAATTTTCGTTAATCTTTCCATTATTCACTTACATTATCACATATAGTGCACACGTTTTAATAATGATAAAGAGTCTTGAAGTGTTCTATTATCTATTCTTTGTTTTTAATTTTCCCACTTTCCTAAATAGATGGGTTACGGTGTTTTTTTCCAGGTAAAGAAGCAAAATTTTGTATAGGAAATGCCTCAATTAATTTATTTCACAAATTTAAAATTTGAAAATTGTAAGATATTTCTATTTTAGATATATGATTTTAAATATTCTTTCTTTTTCTTATTAGGGAGAGATACAGGTTAATATAAACGTTGAAGAGTAAGATGATTAAGGGGGTGTTTGACAATATTGTTGATTTTGTTTTTGGCAATTTTGCTGATGTATCAGGTGTTTATTGTTTTTAAAACAAAACCAACAATGCTGTCGACACCCCGGAAAAGAACAGCAGGAGAGTTGTAGAAAAAAATTTACAAAGAAATGGAACCCACTTCTTTAATTGGACATGGTAAAACCCAAGAAATGGGGCAGTTGAAAGTAAACAATATAGTAATGTCTGTTATATATAGATAGATAGATAGATAGATGTGAGATTTCCTACATCTTTCTTTCTGTACATAGAATGTCAGTCAAGTCATGAAAACAGCAAATGTTATATAACATGGGAACTATGGGATGGGATTTAACAAGAACCTTCCACATGGAAGAAATCAAATAGGTGGTGGGCTATTGCCTAGGTGAGCTCCTACCCAATTCATATATATGAATATGATTAGTTGAGACTTGAGAGGATTCTTATTAGAAGCAAAGATAAGTCCCTTGAATTGTTGATTTGTATGCTATTGTGTTTTTAAAACTAAGTTGACATGTGTCTCCTATTAATAGGGCGGAACCTCCTACTTGTTGTCTTTTCACCTACTACTACATCAATAACAACAACAACAACAACAACAATAAATTAATTTATTTGAAACGACATTTGTGACCATGAATGACTCGCAACCAACAAACTGCTTCTCCATCTACACATCTCAAATGACTCAAAATAATAAGTGTTTTAATTTGCTGTTCATCCCAGAATCTGCCAGCACGGTGTGTTTTGACTATTGCAATCGTAGCTATCAGTTGCAAATGTGGATCACAGTTTTCTAACTATATGAAACACGTGCTTAGACTCCAACACACATTGATATTTTTAGATATTGCTTTGTTGAGTATTCTTAGATACAACATAGCCTTAGAACAGGCATTGTAAGAAAAGCACACTTGTGGAATTGAATACTCGGTTTAGGTTTGGAAGCGTAATTTTACATATGCTTGCTTTTTCTCGTTTTTATGCTCTATGTGGTGCTCATATCATCATTAATTCATTATCATTATTATATGAATAATTTTCGTGTTTCATAGATTTACTTAGTATTTTACTAAAACACCCTTATAATTTGTAACCTATTTACTTTCATTAACAACTATTTATTTTACCATCTGAAAATAGT